TTAGTTTAATTGTGGACATCATTTTCCTCTCTCCTCACCCCTGGAATGCATAGTATTCAAAACTACCATGGATACATTTGCCATGATGGCTAATTCCTATGGTCCCATTGTCATAGTCTCCCTATTAGCTTGTATGCTAAAGAATCAACCTGGTTGCACAAAATGGACCTATCATAATCCTCTCTGAATCTCCAGCAAATCATGGCTAACCTTTAAGGGTATCAGGTTAAATGCTTTAAATAGATGCTCACCCTATCCTGTAATGTTCAGCTCTATCCATTTATTACAGCTGGATTATGGTCTCCACTTTGTGATTTTTATCTAGCGTGCCCCCCCCCAAGTAGACTGTGATCCCCATGTGCGGAGGGGCCGGTTGTGCCATTCCCAGCTGTCTGCCTGCGGCCTGGTGGGTGGTCAGTCCTCAGAAGCCTTCCCCTGCCTGCAGGCATGAGGAAGGAAAGGACTACAGGCTCACGCTGAAATGATGCGTGCAAATATAGAGATGTCACTGAAAGGTTTGGAGCCAACAAGGTGGAAGACGACTGGGAAAGGCAGGTGGTGGAACCTCTTCATGGAATCTTACCATACTGGGAATTCCAGCTTGACTAGGATGATCGCCTCCAGATTGGGTTTGAGACAGGATCTGAACCCAAGATCTAAGTTCAGCTTCCTGAAGCAAAGAATATGGCAGCTGAAAGATCAGAAGGCCTGTGTTAAGCTGGGGCATTGACTTCAACTAAATAAAAGAGGAAAAGCCAGTTGAGGGAGGAAATGGTAGAAGGAGCCGAAGCTGAGAGGGAAGCGGGGCCAACGCAGCGCAGCCCATGCAGCAGAGAGCTTGCAGGTGGCTTTGAAGAGTGCCTGGCATCCCAGACTCGCTGGAAGTTAAGAGGACCAAGGAAAGAGGAGTGCATTTGCAAGTGTCTTTTGAAGCTGTGGAAGAATTTTTGGGAGGCCATAGGGTTGGGATGGTTAGTGAAGGCCTAGTTGTGCTGCGTATGGCCGCTGGTTCACACTGCTGGACAGTGTCAGTCACAGAGAAATGATGATTAAAGAATCTGAGAATAGGGAATGTTTGTGTGTGTGAGGGCATATAAAAAAGGAAGCCAAATGGGGAAGAATTTACTAGAGAGGCAAGAGAAGGCTAGGGGAAAGGAAATGGATCCTCCTAGAATGCCTTTTTTGGGCCAGACAAGGTGATTCATGTTTTATTTTTATCTTACTCAGTCTCATGATAGCCGTAAGGTAACCACTCGATGCCTCTTTCCACATACCAGAGAATTTCAGGCCAAAATGCGGGGTATTTTGTTTAAATGACTGGAGAGTCCAGGTGTGTCTCAGCCTCTGCTCTTTCCCTGATACCCTTAAAGGTTAGCCATGATTTGCTGGAGATTCAGAGAGGATTATGATAGGTCCATTTTGTGCAACCAGGTTGATTCTTTAGCATACAAGCTAATAGGGAGACTATGACAGTGGGGCCATAGGAATTAGCCATCATGGCAAATGTATCCATGGTAGTTTTGAATACTATGCATTCCAGGGGTGAGGAGAGAGGAAAATGATGTCCACAATTAAACTAAAGGCACCTATGATCCCATTATGTCAAACTGTATATGTGAGTAATGCATAAAGAAATGTATGGTAGTTAGCTTCCAAATGGCAGGTGGGGGGCTGGGGGTTTAGCCCAGCAGAATGGTGCCCGCCTGGCACGTGCAAGGCCCTGGGTTTGGTCCTCAGCCCTGGGGGGGGGGAACTACAAAAGACAAAAGACCAAAATGGCAGGTGGTTGGTTAGCTTATTGAGGTGGTTAGAGATTGTTTTGTTTTGTTTCGTTTTGTTTGCATTGTGAACGGCCAGAAAACTTCACAACAAACACACATGAGCCATACAATCAGACACGATTGCTTTTCATTGTGTGGGAAAGAGCCTCGCGAATGAATTGCTGCGTTCAGAATTTTTTTTTTCTCCCCTCCACTGACCTGGTAAGGAGACTTGGATAATTTTCCACGGGCAGGTTAACAGTGCTGAGTGCAGCGAGCAGTCAGAGGTGGACCCTTTCAGGCTGGCTGCTAGTAGGCCTCATGTCTGTGTGCTGTCCCTACCAGAATCCCTGGCCAGTCTCAGAACAAGAGCCGTTTCTGGCTGTAGGAGAGGACTTATTGTTTTAGTTAGTATCTGGGACAACCCAGCAGTGCCAGGGGGGTTAGTGCCTTTGACAGCCGTGACTAGCAAGGGATGAGGGATGATGACACAGCTCTCTTGCCCTTGAGTAGAACACATCTGAGGCCCAGCAGCCTCCCACTCTCCCCCCTCCCGCCTGTCATTGCTGCCCCTCCTATTGGCTTCTCCCTCGGCCTCTCTACTTCCTTACCGCGGCCTCTCAGGATCCCCTTCCCCTCCCAGTCTTTGCCCTTAGATTCTTGGCGTCTTGGGCCTGCTTCTAAGACAGGGTTCTGCCACCGCTCATCACAGCTTCTTTCCACGGCGGTGGACAAAGCACTTGTTTCCTCTCATGCCCACAGTGCTCAGGAACCTCCCAGAAGGGGTCTGTGATAGAAAGACTTAGTGCTCGCCCGTAGTGAAAGGGAAGGGTCAACGTTGACAAGGAGCTGCTGCCCCGTATTTCCCCACCCTGCGGCCCAGCCGGGGACCTGTGAGGAAATGACCCATGGCTCGTGATGCAGTGACTCAGAGTCCTGCCTTTCAGATGCCAAGCTCGCCAGTCAGCAGGGCCACGAGTGACAGACGCCTTCATCGTGCTGACTTTGAACAACATCAAACCTCACCCACCCTCTGTGCTCATCTGCCACTCATCTTTCTGTGTCCTGAGCCAAATTTGGAAGAGCTTAAGTGGCTTTCCTATTTCACTCCCTCCGCGCGGTCCCCCAGCTCCTGGCTGGGCAGCGGCTGCCGGGACATGTGTTGGCTTTCCCCCTCGGCTGAACCATGCCCACCGTGGCGGTGTCGACCCCCTCGCCGAGGGCTAAGTGGACCCTGGGCTGAACTGGCATAAAGCTGGAACACATGTGAACTTCTGTATGATAGGACCTCTGTCTACAGGGAAAGCCAGACCCAGACGGAGGCTCCCTTTGAAAACTGATCCTTGTGGGCTGCGGGTGTCCCTTGCAGACTTCCTCCTCAAATCCCTGGCTCAGGGTACTTTTTGGATCATGTGCCCGGGCCAGTGTGATGAGTCCAAGTGTGGACAGGGGTGAGAAGTGGTTGACCAAAAAGTTGTAAGTATGTGTTCGCTTTTATCATAGGGAGAGGTGTTCTCTGATGTTTTGCCTTTTCCTTTTCTTGGCTCCTTGTCCCTCAAGGAATTCATCTGTCAAAAGTGTTTTTCCATCTTGATTTTACATGATTTTTAGACATGGCATTTATCTGTGCATGCAGGTATGCATCTGGGCACCAGTTTGAACTCAGAGCCTGGGCCCTCTCTTTGACTTTTTCACCAAAGGCTAGTGCTCTACCTCTGGAGCCACAGCTCCACTTCTGACTTTTAGGTGGTTGAGAGAAGAGTCTCATGAACTTTCCTGTCTAGCTGGCTTGAAACCAGTATCTTCAGATGTCAGCCTTCTGAGTAACTAGGATTACAGATACGAGCAACCAGCGCCTAACTCTCTTTTAAATAGAGTAATAATAATTACCACAGAGGATTGTTAATAATTATGAAAATAAAAGGCACAGTTTGAACCCTATAGCTCTATTGTTATGTTGTTGCTTTGTTGTTTATCTCACTTAGATTCTAAGTTTGTTTTGCCAGGGAGTATTGCTACAGGAGATCACTTGTATCAGCTCCTTCCATATAAACTAATTACATTATATACATCTTAGTTGTCTCTATTTATGAAATACAGGATATGAATGAATGAATGGGTTATCTGTAATGCAACACTAATAAATGAAGCAGACAAGGCCAGGAGAAAGGTCTTAGTTCATATCTTTCCTTTAAAAGAGGTACCATATCCTATGAAGTAATTGAACAGAGAAACATAATCTTGTCTGTTTTCCCAGCTGTGCCTTAAAAACAATTGCTTTCCAATATGTGAGCCAGGGCTTTTATTAAAAAAAGGTAATTATCAACATTCTTCAGAAATGAGTGACCCTTGCCAGACTGCAATTGTCTCTTGGTAAGTCCTGCTTCCTGTCAAAAAGAGAAAATTAACTCATCAACAGAATAGGCAAGTGAATCAGATGCCCATTTCCTGAAAGCCTAATTTCCTCCTTTCTTGACAGCTTCTTTTTGCACCTGCTTCCTCACGTCCAGGCAGTGAGTTTTTTAGACCTCAGTTGGGAAAGAACACGGCTGTTTTGTTGTCACCTGCCTGGAAGGGATGGATGTTAGTGGTTGGGGAAGAACGAGAGGAATCTACTCTGGACTAGGGCTCCCGCGAGTAGGTAGGCCTGGTCAGATGGTGGGGCTGCCTGTGGATACAATTGGAAGCCGTGCTCCGTCCTTGACAGTGGAGAAACATACAGCTCTACCACGCCAGTGACCTAGCAAAGTGATTTTTCATAAGGTCACCAATGAGGTTTTCATTTAAAATCTGGGACTTGACTCCAAACGCCCAGATACTTAAACTCATTAGCCATTTTCAAAGAGGCGTGTAGTAAACAGGAAGTGCTTTAATGAAATCAGGCCAACTGTCCATCTCAGGAGCAAGTCAGATGAGATTGGCACAGTGTTCTCTGGACTTGGCTCAGAGGGATACTATGGATGAGTTACATGGGGATTAGAAAATGATAGTTAAAAAAAACTCAACGTAGATTAGTTGTGTGCGTGTGTGTGTGTGTGTGTTAGTACAAGTATTTAGCCAGCCTGCGAGTGTCACGTGGGCATGTTTAATTCTAAACATCTGAATCCAGCATGCACTTCCAAGCCATGGTGGGAAATTTGGATAGGTTGACTGGAAAAAAATCTGAACAGCTGGCTAGTTAACACAGTGCAATCAGATTAAAAAAGAAAAACTGACCATTGTCTCGGTGTGAACTTGCAGCTCCTGGCGAAGCACAAAGGCTTACAATGGGACGAGGTCATGAGGCTGGAAGAAGTGCAGGCCAAGCTGGGGGTTAGTCTGGAAGCAATGCTGTTGCTCACCAAGGACGCCCTGCACCCTGAACCCTATAGCCGCGAGGAGATCTGCATGTGTCTGGGAATCAGCCTGGAGGACCTCCGAACCCAGATCCTAACTCCAAACACCCAAGATGGTGAGTCTGCTGGAGGAAGGCCAGCACAAGGCCTCCTCTCCCCGCCACCCGCAGCGTTTCCAAACCCTGTGGACTTTAAAGGACATGTTAGGGAAGTCAGAACATGTGTGCTTTGGCAGATCTAATGTTCTAGGTCTTTAGCTTCATTCACTCCCAAACATTTCTTGGAGTATGCCACGCATTCTGTCCAGTAGAGAAGGATGAGTCAGGCATGATTCCTACGCTCCCGAGGTTTACAACTGTGTTAGCTGCTCTTTATTTCACATTTTTCCTATCCCTTTTCCTGATGGTTAACAGTATTGATAGAAGAAGGTCTAGGTAAGAACGCTGCTCGTCGCCGCTGTAGGTATCACCCTGGAGCTCCAGAAAATCCAAAGCTTATGTGGAAACTTGCGGTGCACTTCAGCGTGGAAGCTCATTTCTCTTTGCTGCTTTCACGTAATGCTGTTTTTATACTGGTAACATCAGAAACTGCTGGAAGCCAGGTGTACATTGGAGCCACAGTATGAAGACAGAGCACACTGTTTCTTTTAGAGGTGAACGGCTGTCTGCTTGGGGGAGGTCAGTAGTAGGGACACAGATGTCTAGTTAAGATTGCATTTCCCTGTGGGGGCCGCTAGGGAAGGTGGGATTTTTGGCACAGAGATGAGCCTTGGGATCCCATTTCCATCCCATAATTGGCGGGCAGGGATGGGGTTTTGGTTTCTAGAACTGAGATGAGCAAACAAAGTAAGTGTGTGGTGAAACCACCCCCACCCACCACCTGTTTTGGTAAAACCACCTCTCACTAGCGTTTGCTGTGCTTGCCTTTGCACTACCCCCGCAGAGTACCTGTGACGGGGCCCAAGAACTCACAGAACTAAATACTGCCCTTTGCAGAAGAGTTTGCTGATTCCCGCCCCGTGAAAGCCGTTGGTCAAAGTGGGCCGTAGTTTTGCCATGAGAAGCGCAGGAATCCCCCTTGAGGGTGGTCGAGCCGTGCGCTGAGATCAGCGCTGGTGGAGGGCGGGTGAGTGGGTGATGCAGGCGTGCTTCTCCACGTGGGTATTGTGACAGGTGAGTGGAACATGGTCTCCACCTTCTTGTGACTAACGGGGAGAGGGGGGTGCGGGGCGGGGAGAGGGGCGGGGAGTGCCATATCTATGGATCCCATAGGTACTGCGGGCTATCCGGCCCTGAGAACGCGGGCGGAGGAGGGAATGGCGGAAGCGGGCTCAGGTCCGAGCTGGATTCTGAATGACAGTTGTGGGCTTCCTCAGGGAGCAGGGTTTTGGGGAACACACGCTGAGAGGCGCGGGCGCAGGCTGAGCTGGGATCCACTGGGAGTTGGTGACTGACTGCCCTCGTCAGGAAGAAAAGAAGGGAAAAAGAGATCATCCAGGAATGAATCTATTTTGTAACTCTGCCATCCTCAAAGGGTTTCCCTGTGAACAGAAATTAGTCTGTGGTTCTGGAGTTGCCTAGATCAATATCATTAGGTTTACTTTCTAAATCCAGCCGTCTAAACCAGCCAGATTTCCAGTTGAGGTTTAGGGATCAGATCTTTTACCCTTTGGGTTATCCTTATGGCGTTTGCTCTCTCTGGCCTAAAACTTGAAGCATGTGACTCCTGCTGATGACACTGTGCTGAGATGGTGTGAAGGGAGGCGGAGATGACACTGGCCAGCGTGCACAGACGCCTCTGGGAACTATGAACTGCGAACCCTGGCTTTGACTTGAACGTCTGTTCTCACTGTGGAACCCCATGCAAGAGCAGGGCGCGGGGGCTCTACTGCCGGTGTGCTCCTTTCGCCCGCATGGCTGCTTCACGTGGATTGAGTGTGTCTGTGCCGTGCTCACTTGGAGGTGGCAGGGAGAGATGTGTCGTCCAGCAGTGGCGTGCAGCTGCTGTGAGGCAGCCATACTCCCACAGGCCCCTGTGCTGCAACCGGTGTTTGCTCTGTCCAGATTTCTAACAATTAGGTTTAGAAGGCCCAGAGACAATTGAAATTAAACACACCCTGAAAGCAACATTCTTAGCTCCTTTAGATGTTTAGAAAAACTACAAACCACCCCCAGGAACTGGCTAGGAATATTTTTAAGGACTACTTGCTTGGCACGGCCTACACAAATGAGTTAAGTGTGTGGTCTAGTGCCCCATGGCCCCAGGGGCTCATCCACCAGACTTAGTGGCAGGGAGGGGTATTTCCCAAGGCATGATGGGGCTGGGGGGAAGCCGAAGCCATGGTCAGACCCAGGAGACGTGGCTGTGTGTGTCAAACACGGGTGATAGTGGAGGACAAACAAATACAGAACTAAGGTAACAATGGGCTGGGCCAGATTATAAGAGGGAGAATATAGGGGAGCATCTGTTCTAGTTGGATTGGCCTGGCTACTTACCTGAACTGCCTAAAAAAGACACACATTTCATTATAAAAATTACCCCTTCGTCCATGACCATACGCTGCAGAAGTACTGGCCACTTGGTGATCTGTTCGGGTTCTGTGATTCTGAAGCTCTGAGTGGCACTGATGGCTTTTGGTGTGTACAGGCCATGGGCCCAGATGGCTCTTTCAGGAATCATCTAGAGTCAATAGTAACATGAAACAAAACAATACCCACCCTCTGCCAACAGAAAAACTTATTTACTTCATGGTTTCTTTTCTTTCTTTCTTTTTCCTTCTTCTTTCCAGTCCTGGGGTTTGAACTCTGGGTCCTGGGCGCTGTCCCTGAGCCTCTCTGTGCTCAATGCTAGTGCTCTACCACTTGAGCCACAGCACCATTTCTGACTTTTTCTGTGTATGTGGTACTGAGGAATTGAACCCAGGGCTTCATGCATGCTAGGCAAGCACTCTACTGCTGAGCCACCTTCCGAGCCTTTACTTTATGGTTGCTACATCAATCACACTCTTGGCAATACCATGTGCTTCTCCTTTAGCTTTAGGAGAAAGACAACGGTGAGGCTGAGGAGGGTCAGGAATGGAGAATCTAACAGAGGGAGACAGGCTGACGTGTACACTAAGCCAGCTTGTGTGCACACATGCACACAGGTTTACACAAACACCCCCCTAACTCACCTGTGTGCATTCATGTCCTCTTCTCGTCCTGGGATGGTCGTAGGATGCCATGGACTGGCAGCTCTTCACTTGCCCTTTCGGGTTTTTGCCAGGTGTGTTGTGATTCGGGCACCTCATTAGCTGTCTGTGAGCATGAAACTTTTTTTAATCTTTCTAACCTCACTACATTTTTGGGGAGGAGGCGGGGTGGTCGTGGGGCCTGAACTCTGGGCCTGGGCGCTGTCCCTCAGCTCTTCAGCTCAAGACTAGCGCTCTACCACTGGAGCCACAGCACCACTTCCGGCTTTTTCTTTTTCTGTTTATGTGGTGCTGAGGAATTGAACCCAGAGCCTCATGCATGCAAGGCAAGTGCTCTACCACTGAACCACCTTCCCAGCCCTCCTCCAATATTTGATCTTTTCATCCTTAATAATATAGTGCCTGACATTTTCTTTTCTTTTCTTTTTGGTAATACTGGGGCTTGAACTCTGGGGGGGCCTGAGCACTGTCCCTGAGCCTCTTTATGCTCAAGGCTAGCACTCTACCACTTGAGCCACAGTGCCACTTCTGGCTTTTTTTCTTTTTGCTTATGTGGTGCTGGGGAATCGAACCCAGGGCCTC